CCTTAGGTCTTAGATGTGTCAAAAGTCCAGAAAATATCATTTTTCATGTATTTATACCAAGTAGGGTCGGGCCCAAACGAAATCACCATTTTCTAGTCGAAATAGGAAAACTTGCAAACTTATTGCTTTTCATGCGTCGCACTGTGCGTAGCAGGGTGCGTAGCATTAATGCTTTTTCCTGACAGACCCCAAAAACTCAGTCTCTGAAGTTTGACATTTTCTGTAGATTTTTACACTGATGTGTCGCACTGTGCGTCACCCAGTGCACCGCACCAGTGCATTTTTTCAGCAGATTATTCTTTCTTGAATTTTGTCGCACAGAAGTGATCCTCGACCCCCGAACACGATTCCGAATTATTCCTTTGGGCTTTTACTCAGACTTAAAAGCTCCAATTAGCTCGAATTAGTTCCATAACATCTACATAGCTCGGAATCACTCTTACAAGGCATAAAAATCAAAATTAGTGCAAAACACTAGTAATTAACGCTTAAACTCAATTAAAGTGCAGTAAATTGGAATGTAATAAGTGGCTAAAACATGAGATTATAGCCTACCATCACCGGGAGATGTTCTCGAGTAGTTAACTCCAGCGTTCGGGCTTTGGCGATTTCATCATCAATATCAATGACGTCCGCTTTGGCTTCCTCCAAGGTTTTCCTCCTTATATAATACATAGAGTATGTCTTTTCAAAGACAAGGGAATCCCATTGGTGTTGGAGTTTTTCCTTAAGTCTACCAACCTCGGCTAAAAGACCATCCAGCTCGGTTCTTGTGGCTCCGAGGCTAAGATCAAGATCACACAGTGTAGATATGTGAACCCGATTTTGCTCTATGATCTTCGTATACCTCTCTTCCATACGGGCCCGATTTTACTCAGCAGCATCAACCTCTTCGGCTTTGGAGTTCAAGGGTGCCTCCAAACTATTCATTCGTTCAGTAGAGGCAGACTCGCGCCCAGCAACAACGAGCACAACATCTTGGACCTCAGCCTATTTAGCCTTAGATTCTTGAAATTGTACATTTAGCTGTGAGGCTTCTTGGCTGAGGGCCATCACTTACTGCTCACTTTGTTGCAACCGAGCCTCTAACTCACTCGCCTCAGCAGCTTTTGCTTCCAGCACTGGGAGGCGAGCAACAATTTGGTCCCTCTCCCAACAGTTGATCCCGCTCGAACATAAATCCTTCTTTATCAAGGATCAATCTCTGAAGGCCCTCAGAAGCGAGTAAGTTGGCCTGCAAAATATATATCAAAGTCATAAACCTTGTTATAACAGATGAATAAAAACAAACAGTGAGAGAACAAGTACGGTACCGATGCCGCATTGTGAATGGCATTATTCAACATACACTCCCCTGAAAGAGAGTGTATTTTCTTCTTATCTTTTTCTGAAGCCAGAGGCTTCAGATGGTTGGCAAGATCCTCCATCCTGGACAGCAGAGGACACTCATTTGAAATAGAGAGAGTGACGTTCCTCCTCCCTCGGGGATCTGGAGAAGGGGTGAGTAGTTGTGCCCCAAATTTCTATGGTCAGGGTACGGGGGAGGGGCGGCATCCTCTTCTCGGGCACCTGCGATCGGTGGAGGAGATGCAGGAGTTGATGGTGATGAAGGCACAACTGGTGTGGAGGGAGATGAAGTTGATGGTGTTGTAGGTTGAGAAGAAGTTGCGAACGAGGCAGTGCTGATTAATGGTTGCTCGTCAACCAAAGGCAGAAGAGGCCTGGTATCCGAGCTCACAGGATCGGAAGCAACGACTGGGACCTAAAAGGGAAAATCAACATTCTCCACTAAATCTATTTCTCCCTAGAGCGCTCGAAACTCGCCCTCGATTGGAGTTCTAAGCTCTCTAGATTGAGCATTCTGTTGAGATGATGAAGATCGTTGTCTCCTATGAAGGGAAGCCTCTCCATCACTAGCTTCCCTGCCATCGTCAATGACTACAGTGGTTGCGACTGGGTTAGGCGTGGCCTTCTTTATTTTCTTTTTCTTTTATCCCAGCCGAGGAAGAACGCCACCTTTTTGGTTGCTTGTTCTCTAGACTGGGACTCCGAGAGGAAGCACCTATACAGGAGGCAGACCCGAGGGCAGCGCTCCGAGTGAGAGCGTCATGCAACAACCTCGCAGCCTCTGTGCAATCGGCTAAAACCTCGCCTTCGGGGTAGGTAACAGAACCCTACGGGAGTCTTGAATCAAACAAAAAGATATGGTTAGAAAGTTTTCTTATGTACATACAAAGACGGGAAGTAGATATAATCAGTTTACCGTGGATCTTGGCCTTCCACCCGTATTTGAGGGCCAACTCCGTCCACCGATGGGTCTCTGCGTAGTAATGTCCAGAATCTTCTGAAACCATTGGTCCAGGCCTTCAACTCATGGTGGTGTCTACCGAGTAGCTGAAATAACAGAAGCAAAAGAGTTAGCAATGACATGGAAAGACCTTTTACGGAGAAAGAGATAGATTATAAACTTACGTGAATGGCTCCATGATTCGGGAAAAGATGGAGTTGTGGACGGGATGATATCCCTGGTAACAATGACGACAAATCGCTCTATCCACTTGCAGTTATTGTCATCATCCATGGTGGTAAGCAGAGCATGGTGGCCACATTTGCTAAAATTAATTACCCCCCCTCCCCCGGAAGATTTTGGGGAAGTAGAGGTTCATCAAATGTTCCAGGGTTAGGGTTTTACCCGTTTCCGTGCACAACTGGCGCAGACACGCCACCGTTCTCCACACAGAAGGGCCTACTTGTTCCAAGCAGACCCTAGTATTGGTGGCATAACTCCAAGATCACGGGGTCAAGTCCCCCGCTCAAAGAAAACGAGCCTAAAGTGAAGGGTTATGTATAGACATACGTAAAACCCTTCTTGGTGAAGGTCACCCGCTCCACCAGGTCAGGGGAAATGATGTTTAGGTCATGGCAGTTGAAATCTTCCTTCACAATAGGAATACTGGAAGGGCGAATAGAAGAACGATACCTACTAACGGCCCAAGTTCGAGGGTTCGTACAAGGGAACTTCTCTTGGAAGTCATGAACGGTACTCAAGTGCTTGGGTATGATGGTGCTTACCGTAAGGGGATCAGTATCAACATCAATATCTTTATCTTTGCTTCTCTTCGGACCTCCATCGAAGAGAAGACCAGAGTTCTTAAAAGATTCAGTGAAAGAAGCCATGATAGTAAGAAAATGATAGAGTTTTTTGAAGAAAATCAGAGAGAGATGAAAGCAGAAGGAAGTTAAGTGCAAAGAGGATAAAAGAGCTTATGAGAATTTTTAGAAGTGAAAGAAGTAAAATGAGGCGTATAAGTAAAGGTATAAACAGATAAAATCGTGGTCATGATTACCTCGAGAACCGGCAAAAATATTGCTGAATCGTGGGGTAACACGTGTTGGAGGTATTAAATACGAGGAGATGTGCATCTTATCAACGTCAGAGACTGTTCAGAAGGGTTCGGAAGATTTCCTGCCAAGAAAGGAATCTTCACCAACTTCCCGATGACACAAAGATGTTCCACCGGAAAGCATGGAGACTATCTGTATAGGGTAAAATTGGTTTATATTAAATGATCGAATGATTACGTGACACGTAGAACCGGAGACAGACGGAAGGTGAATTGAGTAAGAACCGAGACCGAGGGCAACAACTGCAGTTAGTATCTGATAGATCCCGAAGGGAACATAATCAACGGAAACAAAACGAATGTTTGTCACTAGATGAAATTTAATGAAGAACATTCCCTAATATTAAATAGGCAGCCCTTGCAAAGAATTTTGGCTTTCATGGTCTGCCGTTACATATTTATCAATGACCCCTTTATTGTCATTTAAGAGAGGTTTGATCCTAGGATCTTGTTTCCTAGGTATAACTATAAATAGTAGTTTCAACGGCCATTGTAAGGAGACGAAATCTCTAGCAAAACTTATGATATACTTCATTCTAAAGCTAAATAATACAACTTTACTTTCTGTCTGATATTGCTCTTACTTCTGTCCTCGGAAGCATTGCTCCCGGAGTCTGCCATTTCTGACTTTAACGTTAAGTCTTATTTTTAATTTAATTTAATTATTATTTTGGATCAAATCAGTTCGCTTATCTATAAATCATATAACAAATTCAACTGTATCATTTTACGGGTAAACAATATATATTGAATATTTGCCGGAAAGTGGTTTAATCTTGGCCAAACTTATCTGTTATTTGCCGGAACCAAATTACATCTATATAATCTGGTTTTAGAATAGAACATCAGAAGGTGGCCTAACATTTGCTTGTTCCATAGATTCATGTCCCTAAAGTTTCATGTTAATTTGGCTTTAATAACATACTGTCAGAACTCAGAAGAGGTTGCATGCCTTAGGCAAGGAGAAAAAGAAAATTCCTTCAATTTGTGACTTTCGACTTGCATCAACATCTTCCTCGTTTGAATCATAGCCAAGAAAGGTTTTAATACGCAACAAGTAAAGAGGAGAAACATAGAGAAAAAATATAAGGTAGAACACACACATACATTACCTAAATTATAGCTCTTGATTACTGAGTATTTATTACAGTAGTATATCTTACAAGAAGGAACTGAAAAGCTCCTCTTTCGTCATCCTCGTCATTAGTCATCACTAACACCATTAACAGAGCAGTACAACATTCCACATAATACTCTCATATTGATCTTAAACCTCCTTCTTCCCCTGCCTCCGCTCCAACTTTACCAATTTCCCATAATAATCCAATCCCCATATTATGATATTACAACATCCCATTCCCATATTACAATTTAAAGTAAACCCCCATACTTCTCCCAATTTTATATATATTCATATCTTACAAAATTTTGAAGAAAAATAAACATATTTATACGCATTTCTTTTCTAATTTTCTCAAATTTCAGACCTTTCCATCTCTCCATATGTCTAAAAAATATTCATGGAGAAATTAAGATCCCAAAAAGTTGAGAACTTTTGTCGGCATATAGTCGGGTCGGATCTTTTAGGGAACGTAGCTAGTATTCAAGTCGGAGCAAGCGCCTCAAATCTCTAGTGGCAGAGTCATCAAAGGACTTGAAATCTTCCTGCTTTTTGTTGAAAAATGAGGGCAAGGGAAGAGCTCTAGGCGATGGCGAATTTGAAAATGCCGAACCGGCATACACGTCAGCCGATGATAACCCGACCCGGATATGCTTGGGCAGCATTTCCGGTTGAACCAGCGAATTCAAAGACTCGCCTCTCCTCAGAATCGTCACCCGACCCATTTCTAGGCCGTCGTTGTAAGCCTGTCTCAACTCCACGGCGCTCGCGCATCTCCTCGTGATCGACGGCGGCTCAGGTTGGTTATTCAGCTTCTTCTTCTCCGTTCTGACCACCGATTTTCTGTTCCTAGGATTAAAATAGCCATTTTCGTTTCCAAAGTTGCTTCTCCGGCGATGGAACGCCGACGGCGGAACTCTGAACCTTTCAATTAAGATATCCTGTGGCCGCAAAATCTCCGTTCCCATATTTCCGCACAAAAATTGAATTTTTCTAATGAAATGCAAGAACGAATTCAACTAACGGTAAAGCATAAAGGAGAAAAGGGTCAAGAGAAATGAAAATTAACAGAGTTGTCGGAAATGGGAATCAGGAATGATAGAAAAGCTTTAGAATTATTTAGATTTTTCCAGTTCCTTGTGATAAGGAAGGAGGAGGGAAATTCTCTATTTTTGCACTATCAAGGAAAGGGAAAACAGTTTTGATTTGTTCTGCTCGGTTTAGATTGAAGAGTTGGGTGGGGATGGTTGAAGATTTAAATACAAAGAGGGGAGAGAAAGAAGATTAGATATGTGGGGGCGAGAAGCGCGCGGCGAGGGTTAGATTTATGGGGCTAGTGGTGATTTTTTATTTACTTTTTTTCTTTTGAAATATTCTGGTTCAAAAACTAGTCGTACTTTATGAGAAGGTATTTTATTATATCAAGAATAATACTTAAAAACCAAACAAAGGGTAAATAAAATACTAAGTATCAAATTTGGTGCTGAGGTTATGTTTGCTAATACCTCTAATCAAATGATATTTCAAGCGTTTTTCCTAAGTGTATAACACATAGTTTGTCATATAAAATTTTGCAATTAAGTGTATAAATTAATCGGTGGCAGTCGTATTTTAATTATAATAACTTAAGAGTACTCATAAATTAATATACTTGGTTGCAATTTGTATTAGGGTAAAATTTTATCCGTGGTTCTAACGGAAAGAAGAAGGAGGGGTATTGGTTGGACCGCCTTGTTTGATTTTTCTCATTTTTAGTGGTTGACATAAGCTGAAATTTCCCATTGGAGGTGACTTTCTGTTCCGTTACTTCAGGCTCTTGTCACTTTTTTGTTTCTCATTTCTTTCTTTACCAAAAGAATTCTATTACTAGCTTTTGTTTTTGTCGATAATATCTGCCACGTCAGTTAGGGTCTGGACGACTGGGCAGTGGCCATTGGGCATTTCACAGCCTCTAATTTTCTTTTTTTTGTTTATATAACTTTGTTCTACTTAGATAATGATAGTAAGTGCTCTATCTTTTTCAATAAGGTTGTAAATTACTGACAGTGATATGCGTTCCCGTGCCAAGATCGAACTAACTATATATATATNTCGTTTAGGAAAAATAGTGATTTTTCTTAAGTTGAATAACGTGGTTATTATCATGCACGTAGCCACGTAGTTTAGGTAGAAAAATATGCATGCACGTAAATATGCAGAAAATTCCGATTTTTGGGCATAGAGATCCGGCAAGAGGCAAGATTCAGGTTAACAACATGACAACCACTATTTCCCTCTTTCCGTTTCATCTCCTTCTCCCCTTCTCTCCTTCTCTTTCATTCATTAGAAAAACTCTCCATTTTTGGTTTCTCTGGAAGAGGCTCGATCTCCCCTGCCCGGGCCACCAAGGGTTCAGGTTATTTGGTGATTCATTGTTCTTTCCCTGAGAATCCATGAAAACTACTCGTGAACCTTCAGCTTCTCCATGGTATCTTCTATATTCTGATTTTAATTTCCCTTCTTACCATTTTTGTTAATTTTCATTGTGCAATTTATGAATCTCCCTTTTACTGGTTATACCATATTCAGGCAGTAAGGCAGCTGCTGCCTCTTTTTCATTTTTTGGTTGGGGTGGGGGTTGGGGAAATGTTGTAGATGTAGCTAATTTGTAATATTAACCAGATGGGTAGCTAATATATGCGTAATGTGTTTCTAATCCGGATATACATCTGTGTCATTGTCATGCAATAAAATATGTACAAGAATGGTGGATAATATAGATAAAAACCTATTAGTACAATAAGAACTATTTTGGGTATATAAATAGAAATGCTCTTCGCTGTATGTGTGGACAACAATTACATTTCAAGCCACTTTTGTCTTTAAAACTTGGGATCTTTGAGTAGTTTTCCTAAGAGGACTGCAGATCGTCGAAGTCGAAAAGACATATGTAAGAGAATGGTAGCTGAGATAAGTTGGAGGGCCGGAGATACGAATGAAAAATGGATGAAGAAGCCATTTGCTCGGTGTTTCAAGAATCGCCTAATACAATGTGTTTGATTAAATGACTCATCGAAATAACTGATAGTTCTAATTGTGTTAGCAGTGAGATTCCGTGCAATGTTAGTGAAGGAATCCCAGAGAAGGGGCTTCCGAAGATGGGGCAGAATAAGCTGCTTTTTTGTGCTTCCATTTCTATCTCTGCTGAAGGTAAAATTTCTTTAGGTGGATGCTTTCTTGCTCATATTACTTCTCTTCAACTAATTTCTTTTACCTTTGTAATATGTGACATTTCATCTTGTTATGCTAGAATTGCGGTGTCTCACTATGGCGGAAGGAAAAGTAGACAAGGATTCAACTGGAGAAGTTTTGGACAAGGTTCAATTTCGAGATGATTTAACTGAAAAAGTTATTAAAGATAACGAATATGAGGAGTCTACAAGAGATGCTTCCGAAGATGGATCAGAGTCTGAAACAACAACTTCCAAGTCCAGCACTTCAGATTCAGATGGAAAATTTCAATCTCAGTGGAAAGGATTCATTAAAAGACTAAAGATTGGGTCTTCCATACATTTTCATACTTTCCATCCTAGCATACCTTCACTGCCTTCTATTAAGATAATACCGAAAAGGAAAACTAAGAGTACAGAACAGAACATGCCAACGGTGCCTGCTCCTAACCTAGATACTGATTTACGTCACTGCTTTCAAGCGCACTGGAAAAACTTCTTCCTCTCTGACCTTCAGAAAGCTACTGACAACTTTAGCCGTGGTATGATGATTAGACAATTTAATTTTATCATAGTTCCTGCAACTAATTGAATCTTAGGCAGCCAACATGAAAGCAAATATCACTTTGAACGTCAAAACAACTCAAAATTTTAACTTTCAACTGCTTTTGTGCTATGGGCTTGTTTGTATCTTCCATTTATTTAGCAAATTACCAGATTAAAAACCATATTGTGATGCTCATTATTCTTTATGTCATTCTCAAAGAAAACTTGATCGGTGAGGGAGGTTCATCCGAAGTATATAAGGGACATCTTGAAGATGGCCAACTAGTTGCAGTTAAAAGGCTGATCAGGGGAACTCAAGAGGAGATGGTAGCTGACTACTTATCTGAGCTCGGAATTCTAGTACATGTCAACCATCCAAACGTTGCTGGTGTTATTGGATATGGAGTTGAAGGAGGGATGCACCTTGTTCTTCCTCTGTCTCCACATGGGAGCTTAGCAACTCTGCTTAATGGTCTGTCATTATATCTTCATTTGAATTTATCCTTTTGTAGATTTTTAACCGTGAATTACTTTTTCTATTATGCATTATTCTTTTCAGGTGAAAAGAGTAAATTGGCTTGGTGCCATAGGTATAATATTGCTCTAGGCACTGCCGCTGGCCTTGCGTATCTCCATGAGGGTTGCCGGAGGAGAATCATCCATAGAGATATTAAGACAGCTAATGTTTTGCTGACGGAAGATTTTGAGGCTCAGGTACTTCTTTGAACCAGTGCTTGTGATTTTAAAAGCCGTTGTATTATGTTTTAAAATTGCTTTCTGTCTGGCATTTGAGTACCTCTCAGCGATACTTGAATGTCGTTTGTCAGAATACCTTCATTCAATACCTAATCTCTTGATGGAACGTTATGTGCTTGTCCCAAACATGAAATTTTCTTCGAAGTGATAGAACACAAGAATATTTATTGCCTTAGGGATAAAATGCATTGCTGTTTGTTTCTGTTTTATTTATGCGCTCCTTAAGCTGCACTCTTCCAGTCAGGAGATCCATAGTCCATGAACTTCTAATACAACTAATATAACCTATAGGGGTTTTATTTTTTTCAATTTTGCGGCATTTTGATGCTCAGCTTTTCGTTTTCTGCAGATATCTGATTTTGGACTTGCAAAATGGCTCCCTGATCAGTGGACACACCTCACTGTATCTCAGTTTGAAGGCACATTCGGGTTTGTGGAGACATAATCTACCAACAAAACATATATACTATAATGATCTCCCATTGTGACATATCATTTTAAATGCCGTGACAGATACCTCCCTCCAGAGTTCTTCATGCATGGTATTGTGGATGAAAAAACAGATGTTTATGCCTTTGGCGTTCTATTATTGGAGCTCATTTCTGGACGTCCAGCTTTGGATGAATCTCGTAATAGTGTTGTGATGTGGGTATGCAATCATCTCAACTGCATGTCCTTCAGTTAGTAGGGAGAAGATTTAGTAGATTAAAATTGCCACTTCTTCTGGCAATGGATCATACTTATACCGGAATTGAAGCTTACTATGATCACTATGTTGCAGGCCAAACCATTTCTCCTTAGTAAGAACCACAGTGGGTTAGTTGATCCATCACTTGGGGATGCCTATGACTCAGAACAGATGAATCGGATGGTTATGGTTGCCTCTTTATGCATACAGCAAAATTCAACAGATCGGCCTCAAATGAGCCAGGCATGTAACTTTAAATTTCAGGGGGCAGATTACCATTGTGAATCATATCAAGAGAATGTGGATGGTAGCCTTTTGAAAGTAAAGATTGGTTTTTGCTTAGAATTGCCCATCTTCTAGTATCTAAGTTTTTAATGCTCTCTTAATTATAGGAGTATAAGATATTCTTTATACACCTAAAGAGATGGTCAGCACTTTAGAGGAAAGAGAGTTTTACTAAGGACAGTTCTAAATTCCTGCACTGATTCACAAAGCTAACTGGCAGAGGCAGCAGTGGCGGAGACAAAATTTTCACTAAGGGGTGTCAAGTATAAAAAATAAACACACGAAAAAGCCAAGAGGATTCAACATATAGCGTATTTACATAAATAAAAAAAATTACCTAGCTACAGATTGTATTTTTCCGGCGAAGGGGTGTCAATTGACACCTTTTGGTATAAGGTGGCTCCGCCACTGAGAGGCAGAACCTCTCAATCTGTTTCAGTTCAAAGCCACGATGCGTGTTTGTTATTTGTTTAGGAATATGCTTAATTAGTGAAAAGGAAGAACTGTGACAATTCCTTGATCTTGTTCTCACCCTAGGCCAAAGACAAGTCTGATGTGAATTACAGTTCAACCTAGGCTATATAAAGGGGAGGAACAATCCAAAATGCTGGAGTGCAGTAATTTGAGTTGAGATCATGTTAACACTAGTACACAAAAGGATTTAGGTTTTTGAGTTTATTTGGTTTATATGTATATTTTTATTCACATCACATAAGCTTTGTCCAACTATTAGGCTAATTCCGAGAGAACTTGGCACCTTATTCAGTAACATTAACATTCCATGACACAAGGAAGATAAAAGAAGCCAATATATTGTAGTTTCACCAATTAAAAGGAAAACTGTAACTTTTATTAATTTGATGCATGCCATGCAGGTTCAGGAGATGTTAAAAGGTGGTGGAGGCATTCTCCAGAGAATGAAAACGTTCCAGAATGCCAGCCGTCAAGAGGATATATCCCATAGAGTGAATTTGCTGCTTGAGTCGTCCTCACCAAAGTGATAAAGATAATCCAAACCAGCAAAATCAGGCAGTGTAGGGGAAATAATCCCTTGTTACAATGAAGATCTCTAATGTGATCTGGACACCCTGGACATACATCTCACCGCCATAGAGCTTTCGGAAGTCACAACACGCAAGTCTGAGTTAGGAATGTTCTATTCTACCATAACAGATGGAATCAGAGCTGCCAGGTGAAAATCTAAAAGGTCTGAGAGATCAAATGGAAAAGTGCAGCACTCAGTGTTTCAAGTTTTGACAGGTTTAGCAGGTTTCTTTGCAATGTTGGGTACTACTATATTGAAGAAGAAAGAGATGCCAACATAATGTACAGTATGCATAGGAGAGTCATTATTTTATCCCTTGTACTGTTTGACTGCATCCAGTAATATCTCACAGACATTGATCTGTAATGAAATGTGTATACAACTATGAACTTTAGATGGTGAAGGCATACTAGGGTGAACGTGTGCGTTTGAGATGGCTTTCTAATTGCTAAACATTACATGTACAGTACATGCTTTATATCAGCAAGTGCAGATTACTTTGTTAATAGGATTTTAATTTGGGCAACCCAATTTGAAAGACAAATTTGTCGCGACCCTTATAATGTGAACTTCAGTCCCTCAAGAATAGTCAGATACTCAAGGGAAATGAGTGCTTAATCACCATCGTCGTTTCCTAAAGAAGATTGCTACCAGTTGTTCGGCTTTGGCAGATAATATTACTTATCGCAAGTTCAAATTGTCAACATCCTACCCCTTCCCCATTCAAAAGAAAAAACAAAGGGGTCTTTACCATGGATCAGTGGAGGGAAAACACAGAAATACTTGCACCAATTGTAAAACATGTCAATTATCTCGGTTAAGTAATAAATTGAGTAAAAAAAATATTTACTCATTAACCATGATAAAATTCATGTAAAAGATACACGTGATGCACTATTTATTTTGTGCTAAACCAAATACACGTAAGTACTTTTTGGTTAGGCACTCCATGTTGACTTATTTCGTGAATCTACATAATCATTTAAGTAACTTTCAAACTCTTACAAATTAGGAACTACTTTTTGCTAGAAAATTATCGGCTAGTTTTACTTCTTTAATTTATGAGTCTACTTCACATAAATTATTGGTCTACAGAGACCATGTATTTTGTTATGACACGTATTAATTTACAATATTTTATCGTTTACAAACTTTCATACTCCTCAACGTCCAAAAGATCATAACTTTGAATATTTCAAATTTATATATGTGATATATTGTATACATATTAGGTCTGATCATTATTTATGCAGTACCGTTATGGGCAGTGGCGGAGCCACATGCTGTCAACCGACACCCCTTCAAAAATTATACTGTATTAGTTCGATAATTTTTTAAAAAATATGTATATATATACCAAAATTACACTTCTTTGTGAGTTTGTTTATTTATATTTTGACTTCTCTTAATAAAAATTCTGGCTCCGTCACTGATTATGGTTTATACCTACGTACCCTATTTTTCATTTTTCATGAAAAAGAAAAACCAACAATCGGCGGTTGAATTGGTTTTCGTACTAGAACTAGAAAAAGACAGTTCAATTAATGTCGTCCTTAGGGCGGGATATGTAATTACAGTGAAAAAGACTAGTGAATACAAATTACCCACACGACGCGGTGGTTAGTAATTTTGTAACTCCGTCTATAGCAGCCAGCCTATAGGAATTTGTCTTTATCTCTTCTGTCAGTTAACTACTTCAAGTCAACTGGATTTAGATTCAGAAATAGATACTAAAAAAATGAAACACTTTCCCTGAGAAATTTGTCCAATTTTTCTACTCAACGGCCTGAACTCATGAACAGCTCTTTGCAGCTCGCTAGTTTCTTCTTGCTCTTCATTATAGCGTTCGTGCGCGAATCGTCCAGTTCAGCTATCATCAATCCATCCAAAGCCAAGCAAATTTCATGGAAACCTAGGTATTTTTTTACTTCTGCTAGTTGTTAATTCCCCGTTTAAAGTAACAAAATAAATTAAAAAAATCCGAAATTAAAAGTGTTATGTTTTCAATTTTTTATGAAGTTGTTACTGTTTCGCCAAATAATTTTTGACTGTTTACAGAGCATTTGTATATGAAGGATTTCTTACGGATGAAGAATGCAATCACTTGATATCTCTCGTGAGTGTCATTTTCTATTTAATACTATTTTGAACTTTTTTGTGTTCGAAGCTGAATTTTGTATTGACTTTGGGGATTGCGGTAGGCAAAATCGGAGCTGAAGAGATCGGCTGTGGCCGATAATGAGTCTGGAAATAGTAAGACTAGTGAGGTTAGGACTAGCTCCGGAATGTTCATTCCCAAAGCTAAGGTTCGTTTTCACACTTTCAATGTATCCATCTTACTATATTGTATCTTCCTTTTGATACATTTAATATCACGACTTTACTGCTATATCTATCAATAATGTGATTATACAGCTCGAATTTCTATATGTTCACTTGCATTATCATTGTGCTAGTGTTTGGAATTTTCTGGATCTTCACTTTTCAAGCTTCGAATGAACATTTTCCATCACTTAGTCTGGTAGGAGATGGTGCTGGGGTTAGATGATCCCCGGTGATAATAGTCTTTTTTTTTTGAGATGGTAACATATCCAATATATTAATAAAACATCAGCACAAATTTTGTACTGGAACCAAGATTACATCAAGAAGAGTTATGACAAAAACAAAAATTAAACTTCCTTGTTCTTCTTACAAGGTGCCTAAGACTTTTATGATTGAATCCTGGTCATCTATATATTCTGCTTTACACCAAAAACTAAAAAGAAGAATGCAATTCATTTTGATCTTCTATACAAAATGAAGCCACAATTGATGTGTCTGATAATAGTCTTTGATTCGTATTTTTTCCCGGTTGATGTGTCTGGTAGTTTGTAATTTCTCTGCAAGCCACAATTGGGTATTGATCCCCTACTATTTCTGAGTATCCTACGTTCTGGTTTATTTCTTAAACCATGATGTCGGTACCAGATAAGGGGGAATTGGTTGAAGTAACCATGTCCACAGAGGCGGATCCAGGAATTGGGCTTTATGGGTGTGTATTTTGTTTATCTTTTTTTGCAAAGTACCTTAAACATCTCTAAACCAGATGTGGTTCCTTTATGTATCAGAGTATTTCGCACATCTTTTACTGATGGTGAACGACAGGTACTCAATCCGCGTGTTCGGAATTCACAATCCACTGCCTTTGATCCACTTGGCCATACCCGCTCCATCCTCGACACAGTTATTGTTGTTTTAATCTAAAAATTTGATGATTGCTCCCTTTAATAATTAGCTGATGACTTGTTACAGGCATCAGATGGTATCACTTGTTTTAAGACAAACTTATAGCTTCATACTTGATAACTTTTTTTTTTCATTTCCTGTTTCTGTATCTCTGATTTTGTGAAATCTTCTCTCGCCTCTCGTGCTGCAGGATCCTATTGTTTCTGGGATAGAGGAGAAGATAGCAACTTGGACTTTTCTACCAAAAGGTATGACTTCCACTGAATGATAAATTCTATGTTAATTTTATCTGAACTCATCAATAGTTAGTTGCAAATTGAAGATTCTCTTTAGTCCGTCACCTATTAACCTTGTCATGTACAAAATTTACTAACTTCAGGAAAATGTTTGTAGCTAACTGAACATCAATTGAAAACTCCTTTTATACTGTATCATTAGACAGAACCAACTGTGATAGGTTTTGCAAATGTTGAGTTTCACTAAGCTTTAAGACTGTTAATAGCATAATGTGGTTAACATCAAAGAGTGCAACCTACTAGAATAAAGGAAAGCGATTTAGTTTAAAAAGTTATCCATTCTGTTCACTATTTACTGTTTCACATTGGATCTATTCTTATTCAGAAAACCTATTATAAGCTCATGATTTTGAACTGTTGATGATTGTACTTCTTGTATGCTATCTGCTATATTAAAAGCTGTTAACTTTTTAACTACACATTCTCTAAGGCTTAAGTTATTAATTTACCTCTATTATAAGAATTATCCACCTTCTTAAATTAACTTATTGACTACTTTTTTTACTAGCATGGAGATATTCGTCGTTCTCTCCATTAAGTTACATCACTATATCTGCTAGTTATAAATTTTTGGAGATACAACATTAAGTTACTAGAATACGTCATAGTTATTTCTTGTTTACAGAGAATGGAGAAGAAATACAAGTACTACGATATGAGGAGGGGCAGAAATATGAGCCACACTATGATTACTTTGTAGACAAGGTTAATATTGCTCGAGGTGGACATCGTTTGGCCACTGTACTTATGTATCTCACAAATGTTGAAAAGGGAGGTGAAACTGTTTTCCCTAAAGCAGAGGTTAGTTTAAGTTTTATCTACTCTTGATTCCATTTTACTTCTTTAGCCACGAGTTCAATTATATTTGGCATTTTGCTTATTGGGTTATGAGGAGGCCATTTGTCTTCTGGTTCTATCTAATTTAAGATGCCCATTCTTAGGTTACCTTTGCAGTATCTGCATTCTTTTATTTGTAGAGTTAGGTTTAAAGGTGATACATTAGTTTTGAAGTGGTGTTTTTGAAATTTTGCAAGATCAAACCAAGATATTTTTTGGAACCAAGAACTAAAAGAATATGAGCTTTTTAGATTCACAATTGAAGGGCACATGTGTACACAGCGGGAAAACTGACAAAAGCATGGAGGTCCGTTAGGAAAAGCTGAATTTTCGCTTCTGTTATGGCACTTTTCAGTTGCGGAAAGCCATACTATTAAAGCAGTGTCTGAGCTTGACGAACATTGCATTTTTGCTTGGATATGTGTTGTTTGATTCCTCTTGTTTGTTTATTAGAGGAGTCTGTTTTCTTCTTCTCTCTGTAAATTGAATGGTACTGATGAGATGACATTTTGCACTTTAGCCTAACCAGATTCATACTATAGTCTTCTCTTGGATTCTTCTTTGTTTTTTGAAGTTGTTCCTACACATTCTTTACCCACCAAATATTGGAAATTTGTACAGGAATCACCTCGTCGTAGGTCGATGATAGCAGATGACAGCTTGTCTGAATGTGCAAAGAAGGGCATACCAGGTACTATACGATTTAGGATATCTCAGAATTGTTGAATAGTGCTATTTCTGCGACTTATATATTGTGCATCTGATCTGCTCTGCTTTTTTACTTTCCATTTTCTTGGAATTTACCAGTGAAACCACGGAAAGGAGATGCCCTTCTTTTCTATAGTCTCCATCCAAATGCCACTCCTGATCCACTTAGCCTCCATGGTGGGTGCCCTGTCATTCAAGGTGAGAAATGGTCAGCAACAAAGTGGATTCATGTGGATTCCTTTGACAAAACTGTGGATACCGAAGGAAATTGCAGTGATCGTGATGAGAATTGCGAGAGATGGGCTGCTCTTGGGGAATGCACCAAGAATCCAGAGTATATGCTGGGAAGTGCTGGCCTTCCTGGATATTGTAGGAAGAGCTGCAAAGTGTGTTAACTCATTATACTTCTCCCTCCCAACTAAATCTGTTTAGAAACTGACAGTTCTTTGGTTATAGTTGTTTCTATTGTATTTTCTAATCTATCATTTCCATCCCTCAAGTAGTGGAGTATTTTTCCTTTGAGGCTACTACATACCCAAATTTTGTCTGTATGCTCTCTTTTTTCTTGTCGAATGAACGTTTGAGCATCACGTTGCATCTTCTATTTAAGTCATTTTCTGTCTTCTTTGTTAATTTTATCAAACAGCTATACTTTTGCTAAATATCTTTTCTGTTTTCTTCCAAGGGAAATGAAAATATTAACAAAACCGGAGATGAACCTAAACATCTGAATGAACTAGTGAGGTTTTCTTCAGTTACGCATTTTTATTTGCAAATGGAACTTGCAACTTGATCTCCAGACAGAAAAAATGAATATTTACACCCTACCTCAACTACAACGTTTCTCTGCACCAAACCCAAATCACAAGCGCCGTTTCATTACCCGCTTCCCAAAAGATTCAATCTCGGTTGTCCAATGTCCGTTGCTCCATCGCCGTTGCTCCTCCGGCAAAGCTTCGTTCTCTCCGGCGAACGGCCATCACCGGGCAATGTTTGGCTACAATGAAGGATCTCTTAGATATAGCTGGATTTTCGAAGTGTATTTCTAGATCTGGCCGACGAAAAGCTTGGAAGCCTCATTCTCAGATCTGGCCAAATTTTGCTAAATACAGTGTAATAATGTATTCTCAGATCTGGCCGGATTTCCGTTCGTCTCCATTTTTAGTTTAATGCAATGTATACAGTGTTTTGCTTGGCCGGAAAATGTCATCTCCAGCGAACTTTCTTCTCTTCTTTGGTATGGAGTCACATACAATGATACAATACATACATTGTATTTTCAAATCTGGCCGGATTTCGAATGGTAAATATAGAGTAAATACATTGTATTCTTAGATCTGGTTGGATTTTAGTTCGTTTCTGGCGAAGCGAAGCCTCATTCTCAGAACGCAGGATTTTCAAATAATAAATACAGTGTATATAGTATATTCTCGAATCTGGCTGAATTTTTGTTTGTCTTCATTTTGAGTATAAAATACAGTGTATACAATGTTTTGCTTGGCTAAAAAATGCCATCTTCGACGAACTTTCTTGTCTTCTCTGACTGTATACATGGAGATTGTAGTTGTATTTGGATGTATTTGACTTTATTTATCAATGTTGTTATTTTTTAATACAGTGATTGATTGAGCTACTTGATAATTGTATTATGGTTTTCACACATTGAATGTATTTTTCTAGTATGTATCTACTCTCTCATAGGTTGTATTGACTGTAACCAAAATACGGCCATTATGTGCGAACGACTACAGTTGATACAACTTTCTATCAAAATTGTATTCATTGATACAATCATTATGCGCGAACGAATATAGTTGATACAACTCTTCTATCAAAACTGTATTCATTGATACACCCTAGCAACAAACTGATACAATGAAATTTGAGTTTGGTTGTATGTGTTTGATGAGCAAGGGAAAAGTGACCGAGTTGGATGAAATCCCGATGGAGTTTTGGAAGAGTGCGGGCAAGGCAGACTTGGAGTGGCTCACTAGGTTATTTAATGTCATTTTTAGAACGAAGAAAATGTCCGAAGAGTGGAGGTGGAGCACGATATTTCCTGTATACAAGAACAAGGGTGATATTCAAAATTGCAATAACTATCGGGGTATCAAGCTGCTTAGCCATACTATAAAAGTCTGGGAGAGAGTGGTTGAGCTAAGGGTGAGGACGAGTGTGGCTATCTTCGAGAACCAGTTTGGGCTTATGTCGGGGCGTTCGACTACAGAAGCCATCCACCTTGTTAGGAGATTGATGGAGCGGTATAGGGAGAGAAAGAAGGACTTTCATATGGTGTTCATCGAATTAGAAAAGTCGTACGATAAAGTTTCGAGGGAGGTTTTGTGGAGATGTTTGGAGGCTAGATGTGTACCTGTTGCCTACGTTAGGTTGATTAAGGACATGTATGATGGAGTAACGACCCAAGTGAGGACGGTGGGTGGGGACTTAGACTGCTTTCCGGTTATGATGGGGTTGCATTAGGGGTCGGCACTCAGCCCGTTTGCTCTGGTGCTGGACGTACAGATGCGCCACATCTAAGGGGAAGTACCGTGGTGTATGCTATTTGCAGATGATATTGTATGGATTGACGAGACACGAGATGGTGTGAACGCGCAATTAGAGGCATGGAGGCGAACCCTGAAATCTAAAGGTTTCAAGTTGAGCAGGACCAAGACAGAATACTTGGAGTGTAAGTTCAGTGGCGAGACTCAAGGAGGGGAAGGGGAGGTGAGGCTGGACTTGTTAGGTTTCATGAATAGGAAATGGAAGTGGCACCTTTTGAATTGCACCTCTTCATCTCACTTTTTTCATTTATAAATTTAGAGGCTTAGCCTCATTTTTCAGAGATGGAAAATCTGAAAACTTCTCCCATCTTTTCTACACTGTTGCATTATTTTTCCAAATAAATATAGTGTCAAGTGTGATTTGCTCTGTTTGTTGAGTTCGCTGAAATTCTGTAATTTCGATTGCCAGTATTACAGAATAGTTTTTTCGTTCTATCATTGGAGGAAATAATCCATAACCTTGGGCAACAGTGAGTACATTAAATTCCTTAAGGACACACAAGCAACTTGTGGGCTCGAATTATTTTATGATTTGTTTATTGAACTAATATTTCCTCTTCCTCTGATTTTCTGATTTCAAACATAAATTACCAACAATCTTAAGGAATTTATTTTAATAGTTGATACCAGGAAAAAGAAGAAGAAAGAAGTGAAAGTCGTTTGTCATGAAGAAAAATGACGAAGCGATTGTTGAGGTTTTTGTTATTTAAGATGAAATAGTCTTAAAATGAGGGTGAAAGAAAAATGGAGGAAAAATGAAATTTTTAAGTAAAATTTTAAGTTTCCCCCTCTTAACAATGAGACATTGTTCCATATTGGAAGAGGAAATTTTTTTTTGTGGGTATATATATAATTGCTCTTCTTGTAGCTCTTAAAGAGTTAAGAAGAAAGCAAGCCTCGCGCCGTCGTCGTCGTCGCTCGCTCGGCTCGGCTTGGCTTCGGCTTCGGCTTCGGATTCGGATTTTGATTAATTTTTTGGACCAAATTTATTTGTTAATAGTAAATATTAACGTAAGATTATCCGTATTTGTAAAGGATATATTCCAATCCGTGTATTGACCACCAGCTGCAATAGCAGCCGCCTAATGCTCTTCCCACCATGGCCAAGTGCTTGCTCCACAAACAAGCTAGTGCATGCTCCACCATGGAGGGTGGAGGGTCGTTCATCTTCAAAG